TGTATGATCGTCACAATTGAGGTATTAGAGGTTACACGTCTTCTTTATAGATCAAAATTTCGTTTTTAATGAACGTATCATTATAGTCATCAGTGTTTTTGTTGCAGAATATACCGAAAATATTAACCTGTTTCGTTAAACATTTCCCAATCTATAATTACTGAAATCATTTGAATACATTTCCTCCATATTATCATTATATCAAATACCATTTCAAATTTGAAAATTTACACACACACAGTGGCCTGAAACCATCATTGAAAATTTTGTAACCACAATCCTTCACGAAAGGAGCAATTCCATATTTCGTTCGTGCCAATATCGACATACAATTCAACGCCACTATATTATACCAGATTATTCAGTTATTCGCGAAAAAGATTAATATATCATCGAGAAACGCATCGATGAAGCACAAACAATAATTCAATTCAACCGCACACTATACTCTTCAAAATTTAAATTTATAAATAAATATCGACAAACGTCATTGAAATTGTTATTAAAATCATTAAATATCTTTCTATACTCTTCGTCATGTTTGTTAAGAAAAAACAAGGACATATTAACATATTAATTAAAAGAGAGAGAAAGAGAGAGAGACAAATAATAACTCCTTGCCAAAAATCCTTTGATATCGGAAACTCGCCGGTATCTAATAAGCTCCTCCACGTTTCTGTTTTCTCTAACGAGTTAAGGGACAGATCAGAGTCATTTATAGTCGTGAAGTTCGCCCCTCCGCTAAAAGCACTCGGGACCACTAATTAGAATCTGAAGGGGATGAGTACACCTTTTGGGGAAAGTACGAGGCTCGAACCGTATTCGAGAGCCAATACGTGATTTCAGTCCACGCGGACGGCCCGGCACGGCGTCGCCGTCCACCCCGGTTCAGCTTTCATCTGCGGTTAACCCAGGTTAAAGCGGTTCGCGTATATTCCTGATATCGATCGAGCCATAGGCGCCTGTGGCCGGCTTCCGCTATGCCCTCGATGAGCGATCTCGTAGAGGAAATGCCCGGCAAAAATGAGAAAGAGGGGGGGAATCTGTAACCGAAATGGGACGCGAATCAAGCGGGCCGGACGAGAGAGTGAGAGAATCCAGGGAGAAATAGGTGGAGGGCAAGAACGAGTTAGAAAAAAACCTTTCTTTTTGCTTTTTTTAATTTTTTCCTTTTTGCTTTCCTCTTTTTTTTTAATTTTTTTATTCTTTCTCGAATCCAAACTCGAGGCTCGATAATGAAGAATAATTGAGAAATTCTACGAGGATGGAATGGAATAATAATTGTACACGGTCGAGAGGATTTTGGAGAAGGGCGGAATCGATTTTCTGGGAATCGAGCTAAATAACTAAGATTGTTCGTGTTTTTTTTTTTTTATATTTGTTTAAATTAATTTTTGGCCCTCCTTCGGCAATCTTCTTCTCGTTGTCAAATAAATATCAATGTTAGGATTGATGGAATACTATTATATAATATCATAACATTGAATAAATGATGAGTATCTTTGTAATTAAATCTTTTATAAAAAGAATTAAAATTAATTATGTAGATCTAAAAAACCATTTTTAAATTTATATATTAAAAATTTAAAGTTTTTAGATGATTATTGATTATTGCTATAACAGCATAAATACTTTATTTTTATTATAAATAATTGTTTATAACAAAGTAAAATTAAACGTTTTAATAATAATGTGTTATAAAGATTAATTTACCATCGTATTTAAGCATATTTTAAATGAAATTTCCTGATTTTGATATAATTCGTATAAATATCGAGCCAAGTAAGTAATTATTAAATCATTTTAATGAAACAACAGACCATTATAGCAAAAATATAATATTCCATATTTTCACTCGTTCCATTTCGAAATACGAATAACTTCCATGCGTTTCGATCTAAGCGGGTATTCTCGATTCCCTTTTACAATACGAGAGTTTAAATGATGACAAAGCAGATTGGAGAAACGAACGAATCTCTTGATAATAAAAACGACGTGCAATTCCGAACAATGTTCAATTCAAAAGCATACCCTTAAATCACGATGAATTTGTTCAACCTTTGCTATAACCCAGATTTTATTCGATCACATACATCGAACAAAAGTTTGAACATTTCTGCTTAAAATATGAAGTCATAGAATAAAAGGAAAAAAAAATTTTTATACACAAAGAGCAAAAAAACAATTTATTTTAAAATACAGTATTCATAATAAATGTATTCATATAAACGGTTTTAAAATTTAAATAAAAAATATGTTTGGTGAAATATAAAAATATTAAAAGGAATCGATCAGATAATAGTTAAAGAAGATTGGAAAACGAGGACAGAAATTAAAAAAAATTGTGAAATTCTTATTCAATGGTTTCGATTTCTAATTTTTTTTTTTTTTTTTGTAAAAAAACAGGATTCAATTGTTCATATTCAATTATTAGAGACGGGCAATATATGTCACAATTGTAATCACAATAAATGAAATTTTGTTGTACTTCGCTTATTTTTTTAAGAAAATAACATAACAAAACAATATTCAAAAGGTCTAACATTTAATATGAAAATGTTCCGACAAACAAAGCGATTGCAATTACTACTGAATCCCAAGCGATCCTTTGCCCTGGAGGATAATTCAACGAAGCAGCACATCCGGATGGAGGGTCTATTTAAGAAAGAGGAAATTACCAAGTCACGTACACGAGACCTAGGAGACATGTTTGAAGAACGATGCCAGAATCTCTTCAGAATAGCAAAAATAATGGACCAAAAATGTCAGATGTGTTTCAAAAAGGACATTTTTAAAACATTTCAGAAAAACATATAAGATAAGTATTGCACAAAAATTTCCATTGAATCATTATCATTATTACCCATCTTTCTTCTTCCTTTCAATATTTCTAAAAACAGAAAGACGTCATTAAAAATTAAGTTAATAATAAGAATATTCTAAAACAATTAGTTCTTTATTATCTATAAAACTTCTTTCTAAAGGAAGACATATTAATAATATTAATGATATCAAGAATAACACAACAACTCTGAACATTATTTCATAAAATCAATAAATTTTAAAGAATAAACAAGATACTTAATTTTTTCAAAAAAAATATTTTATAGATGATCATAATAAAATTCTATTCAACAATAAAATATATAATAATTTAAAATCATGATGAAATTTTCATCATCAAAGGAATAAAAAGATGAAAAACAAAGGTGAAGAACGAATTATTCAAAAAAGAATTGCTGGAACATGATATCAAACGATCGAGAAAAGAAAGCAGAGCGAAAGGTTATCGTTAGGGATATAACCGTCGTCTTTGGTATCATCTGCTGCACAAAGCCGTAAAGTACGGTGCTCGGTTATTTCGGTCAATCCTCGACGAAGAGGCCGTCCGGAAAATATTCACATCGATCTATACTCAGTGACCTCTCTTTAGCTTCCTATCTCTTTCTCCTACAACATACTGTAGCGTATGTATACACGCATGTTGCCTTTTACATAACCGTACAGATTCACTTCGGCCAAAATTCTTTCTCCATCCTACATCTTTGTTGACCCTGCTCTCTCTCTTTCTTCTCTCCTTTTTTCTCTAATATCCAACCTTTCATCGGTTTAGCTTTCTTTCTCTTTTTCCTCAATCTTTCTCTTACCCTATACATTCTCTATCCTGTATTATCGTCGTCACGCTTCCTTCAATCACACGAGACAATTCCTTCCATATCTCCTTTTCTCTTTCAAAGCACAGTCAAAAACGAATATTTTGTATAAATCGGTTCAAAGTGCTCTTTCAAATCGTGCATAAGAACCAAATCAATGGTAATCGATAAGCAAAAGGAATACAAAATATATCGGCAAACAGAATTAATTATAACTATAGTATGATACAAATGGAATATAGATATTTATAAAGAAGTATAAAATGAATTTTTTCCAAAAATATTTTTCCGAAAAAGATAAGAATACAATTTTTGCAATCAGAAAAATTATTTTTATATTGTGTTATTTCATACCAAATGTTCTCTAATTGGAGTGTAAAACACTAATTTTGATAGACAAAAGCTTAAGTATTTATTTTATTAAAAATCTTTTATTTTATTTGTCAAAGGAATACTTTGTTTTAAAATAGAAAAATCGCTGAAACAATGGGTGATTTATTTCATTTATTTTCAATAGATATAATGAGAAAATATTCTTTCATTACGAAAGGATATTTAATTTTTATTTATCAATTTAATTTTTTATTTTTCTAAAAGAATCATTGTATGCTTTTTATATTAGAACTTTTTTACTCTTTATTCTTTTGTCTTTCATGATCCTTGTGTCTTGTATTCTATTTTCATAATAGTATTATGAAATTTCACAATAGGAATGAGAAAAATAAGTGCGGATATAAAACAAAAGATTTTTTAAAAATTTATTTGTTAGATTTACTAAGAATTGAGAAGAATATTGATTTTATTAATTTTATATGACATTTATAAGCATAATTTTATAATATGGACACAAGGCTCGTTTTTATTTAGTAGTAGAAGATTGAACTCAGTTTATTACTATTATCTATTAGTTCAATTTCAATAAGGGGAGGTTGGACAAAAATTATGATCAAATCTTAATAATTTCGACAATCATACATTTATTTTACTTAAAACTAATATACTATTTACATGATTATTTTATTATTTAAATTAATTTATTTTATGATATATATATACATATAACAACTTATTTTCTATAATTAATTGATTACTTTTTGTTTAACTTATTCTCCAATATTATATACAATATTTTTTATCTTCTAATAGTCAAATTTGTAATATATTCTACTTATTTCGTATCCCACTTACCTCATTTTGAAGAGATTCATGAAACAACAAATAAAATTAAAGAATGAATTACATTCGTAAAAAAACATATAAAAATTATGTAATAATAGTTAAACAACGAATGTCGAACGAATTTTGTAATATTAAGTAACAAACAATCTATTCCTTCATATTTTTCAGAACCAAAAACTGAAATTTTGGGTGCACCAGATTTATACATCAATCGAGGCAGCACGATCAATTTGACTTGTGTAGTTCTTCTAAGTCCAGAACCACCAGCCTTTATATTTTGGAATCATAACGATGCCGTAAGTATGGATGATATATTTAAAAAAATAAATATGCGTTTTATTCGTTACGATAAAGAAAATATATTTAATATTAAAATATTTATATAAGCATAAATAGATACAAATGATAGTGAAGTAAAAATAGAAAGTAACGGAGACTTTCTATATAGATATCAATTTATATCAATATATCATATTAACTTTATATGATAATTGATAAAAATATTTGTTAAAATTATCACTGCTATCTAAAATCTCGAAATTTACATTCGCCGCTTTTTAAAAACATTAAGTGAATATTCAATTTCCGCTTGAATAGAGTTACTTCGAAATCATCCATCCCTCATTTTAATTTCGAACGATTTTTTCCGCTTCTGTTAATTCCTATTGACTTACATAGAATGCAAAAAATGAACAATTGATAGTTTCAGAAGTTTCGAGAAGCAAAAAAATTTTATTTATTTACTACTTTATTAACTTATAATTTAAGTTATAATAATTTTTAAAAGAATATTTTAAATTTAATATTATATCCTCGTTCCTTCTTATATATAAATAGATTAATATTTACTAATAAAATTTACAAATCTTCTGATTATTCTCTTATTTGATTTGTAATTATAAAATTAAAAATAAAAAAACTTAAACATACAACTTCATTAATTGATAAATTTACTACATTTTTAAATATTCTAAATATTCTAAATATTCTAAATATTCTAATTCTTTTTTTCTAACTATTAAATTTTACATTTATCAAGATAATGAATTCTTGAACCATTTTATATATTTATTTTATATATTTATATATTTTATATATTTATTTATTTTATATATTTTAAAGTGCACATATTCAACTTCCATCCATGTCCTCAGAATCTAAATATACTTACGCAAATTTCACCAAAGTATTCTTTGCACTTTCACACTTTTCCTTCATCATAATCTTCAGCAAGGTGAAAATTTTTGCAGATGCTTTTTTCCCGACAAAACAATTATCGTAAATCATATCCTGCTTCCATAAACATTGATCACAATTAAGATTTTACTTAAACTTTCAGTGCTTGCAAGAATTATCGTTTTTTTATTCAACTATCCTCATACGAAAGAGTACAGACTATACCTATAAACTGCAACACCTCAGCGAACGAAACATCTATAAATTTTGATACTCGTGACGTTAGTATCTAGTAAATTGTCACTAGCGATGCGACTAATAATATAGCGCATGCGAGACACCATTAGAAACATTAAGTCTGACCAACAGCCTTGGAATTCCCTAGCGCGACTATGAACATATTTAGCAAGCCTCAAGATGAATTCTATTCTGCTAAGCTTATCGTCGTAGCAGTCTGAAACTTTTCACGAGACAACCGGGACTAAAGTAATTTGCGAAACTTCATGCTAGTTCCAAAATGTCGCTGATCTATACTCTCAGATACTTAATAAATAAATTTTAAATAATTTAAATAATGTATAAATTTATTTTAATTTGTATGTTTTAATTTGTTCTTATTTCTTTTATTTTATGTTTTTTTTTAATTTTAAAAAAATGAAGAATTAGATTAAGATAACTTTAACTACTAACTAATAATATCTAGAATCTTTTGGTTTATTTCTAAGATTATACTATTTATTGCAACTATATCTTTTAAAAATATTTCAATTCTTTATTATAGAATAAAAAGCACAGAAATACAAACATTTGCTGCTCATGTCAATTATTATAAATTTAGCCACAGTATTTTCAAAACTAAAAAAACCCAAATTATATGTAAAATATTATAAAAACTTTTCATTATATGGAATTCATTATATCTCTAATATCTCTATATTATTTATAAATCAGTTCAAATCTCTAACAATAAATTCTATATGTAAAAATAAATAAAAAAATATAGAATAAATTTCTTTCATTTAGAAAAATTAGTTTTCAAAAAATTTCAAAATTCCCTGATTATTCCTTAAGTAAATGTTCAATCTCAAAAACAAGAATTTAATCAAAAAAATTTTATTTTATATTTTTGGCTTATTATCACAAGTAGAGTAACCATCTATCGAGAGTTTTCAATTGGGAATTGACCAATTTCAGTCGTATTTGAAAAATGTTCGATTTTGATTTATTTAAAAACGAAGGCTCAAATAAAAAAATTTTATTCTTCCTTTTCGATTTACTTTTCCACGAAAAATCACCTCCTGCTCGATTATATCATGAATGACGACAGACATTCTGTATAAATCGAGAAAATTACCTCAACTTTTTCGAATCACCTTCAATAGAGCTCTCGATCCTTCGATACAGAGACCATAAATCTTACCAAGGCTGTGACAAAACTGGAAAAAAAGGAAAACGATACACGTCAAAGTCGCGGCTTATACCTCGACTGTAATGGCATTCTATGAAAAAGAGTTTCGCGTGGGGAAACGTTTCGAGAAATGTTTCGTAACACGCGTCGTTGGAAGGGGTGCAAACCGATAAAGAGAAGAACACGAAATGTCCCTAGAGGTGAGGCTGGCTAAAATGCAATTCATGGATAATAAAGTCAACGGGATCGATCGATTCATGCCGCGAAACATTTTCCAAATCATCCAAACTCGCTGGCAGTTTCCCCTTACAGTTCAATAAATGTTCTCTCTACGGTTCTCTCTTTGATTTCGATTGAATTTCGAGATACCGTCTCCCTGTTTCATCCACGTGTCACGGTGTGTTTTCTACTGGGTTGTACCGTGTACTTGCGGATTTGTCCTCTTTACATCGAGGATCCGGTATACACGTACGCCGATGTATTCATTTCTCTCTCTCTCTCTCTCTTTCTCTCTCTCTCTTCCTGTATTGCCCTCTCTTATTCGATTTCTCTGTGTGTGAACATCTGCGTTTGTAAATAGAGAAGACCGAGCTGGTTGCAATTAAATTGACTTAACAATTTGTCAGTTGCCTTTTCACTCGAGCACGAGAGCAGACGTGTCTCATGTATCTTTCGAGTGTAGGTCTAATTCTAACGTTTATTTTCTCTCTAGCCACCGATCGGTATCTATGGTATTGTCGGTGAGTAGTTTCTTTTTTTTTTTCTGCTTTTTTTCCCCTAACGAACGCTATGTATTCATTAATTTGAATAAGTATTATGTTTTCGTCAGTTTGAAAAGAAATTATGAAATGGAATTGGATTGATAACAGTGAGGAAAAGAGTTATAGATCGGTGATAAATTAAGTAAATTGTATTATAGTAGTAAAGAAAATAAAGTTTTTATGATTGATTGATTATCTTGTCATAAATTAAAATTTTTTTTAGCAATAAAGTTTTGTTGATATAATTTTTTTTGTTGATATATAATTTATCTAATTAATATGTAGGTGTCGACAATATGTTAGAAATATTCAAAGTGAAAACATAAACAAATACATCTTCTGTTTATTTTTATTTTATTTAATTGTAATTAAATTGTAATTAATTTAGTTAACTTATTGTTATTTATTAATTGTTACATGTATCTTTTCTCAGATACATTGAAAATAATGATAAATATCGTTATATTGAAAATAATAATAAATATATTTGAATTTTATGCATTTTATGCATCATCTGTACACACACAAATATATTTCGCAAAAATTATAATAAAAAATAATTAAAATAAATCGTATTTTCATTAATTCGTGTTTCAAATAAAATTATAACAAATGATAACAAAAAAAAAAAAGATCAAAATCAAAAAGATCAAAGATTTTTACATTTTTTGTATTTCCAACGAAATTGCATTACTATAAAATCAATAGTATATATAATTTTGTTTATTTTTAATTCAAAATTTATTTCTACAATCAATGATGAAATTAAAGAAAATTTTAATGATCAAACAAAGTCAAATATTTCATTTTGAATCTCACGTTTGCAAATATTCTATATAAATGGAACGATATTTATTTATCTGATTACATTTCATTAACTGACTTTCTATGTCAATTTTCTTTCTGCAAATATCAAAAAGAATAACAGAAAATTATTATTGAACTTTCATTTTGATCATAAGGAAAATAACTTCAAATATTCGAAATATTTCTCTATATCTTTTAAAGTTAAGTTTCTTGTACATATAATTTTATTTTATAAAAAAAAAAGAAGAAAATTGATCGAGGAACATTATACAATTTTTAATTCGTTATTTCATTTTTAAATAAATATAACGATATAATCAATAATAAAATAAAATTTATAGTTTGAGCATTCGTGTTAACTTTTATTATTTTATTATTTTTAACTTTTATTATTTAGATGTGATTAATTTGATCGTTCCAATTGATTTATCTGAAAGAAATCCTATTAAGGAATGGTTACGAGATATAATATCAAAATCTTCTTTACGTGGTGATAATGGAAGATTGCCAAAAAGGTAAAGACCTTAAAGGTTGCCAAATCGATTCTTATAGTTACAATGAAATAAAAACGCATCCCATGGATTTGTAATCCTCATAATAATGGATATAAACTTAATTTAATCTTTAGCATCTTTGAATTCCATAAAAATTTCAATTAAAGAAAAATTTATTATATTATTATTCTTACATTTCAATTATTATTCCTATTTGAGAATTGTTTTCATATTTTTGTTATGAATAATTGCTGATAAAAAAAAATATACATTCTTTCAAGAATTATTTCCCATATAAATTTGATTTAAATTTCATCAGAATCAACTTGTTCCTTTGTATCTTGTAAAATCGTGAAAGGTGTTCCACAAACAAGATCGTTTTAACAAACACCAAAAAATTTCGCCAATCACAAGTATAAACGATTCATATAACAATATACAAACTTTCCGCTCATTGTAATCGATTTTTATTAATCGTTTTAAGTTCCATTTCTTGCAATGCAAAACTTTGAAAAACTTATATCGATAGAAGTTCTATACTCCCTTCGATTTCGACTTGTAACTTTTATCGGTTCTTTTTTGTTCGAAACTTTTTCGGATCTTTTTAAAACAAGCCTTATTTGCATTTAAAAATATACCAACACTTGTTT